AGCGGTGAGCGTCGGCATGGGCGCCGCTCACCTGCCAGGTGTCGTCAAAAAGCCGCGCTTCCAGGGAAGAGTGCGTGCCTCTGACTCACTTCTCCTCCCTAGGTCTCTTTCTTTTCCTTCAGGTGACGATTTTATTCTAATAAAGTTTATCTGATCACCCGTAGGTGAAGTCTGTTGGGTCTTCAGGCCTGTCAGTCGTCCAGTAAGAACTTGTCCTGTTTGATATGCAAGCGTTTTGTGTTGCCGCACACGGGCGTTAAAAATAGATTTCTTCCCTTTGCATAGCTGTTAGACAGTATTAGGAATTATGATACCCTTTAACAACACATTTTAGTTGACATTTTAATCTCAATGCAGGAGGATGCTTTCATGCCAGTCCCATTTTTTTTTTCCAGAGAAAGGTTTAACTGTGATTTGGAATAATTTCCTTTTTAAGCAGATGCTGCCTTTTAAATAAGTCAGAAGCTGCCCACACTTGCAAACCAAAAGCCTTCATGAAAGTTATGCCAAAATACGCTTGTTATGATTCTATTTCTAGAGGTTTCTCACACTCAGTGGGATATTGTTGAAACAGCAAGGGTTGTACGTTTTAGTGGCAGGCTTTTCCCTCTGGCCGCCGACACCACTCCCTCCCTCCTTTTGAGCTATGTTTAATACATATGTTTAAAATAAAATAATAAAAAACCCCTTTCCCCTCACAGCTGCAGATTTCCCTTCCAGCTTCTCTGGTTTCATTCCCAGTTCACAAAATATAATAAAAAGCTTTGAGTATTTGCTCAAATGTTTTCTCCATGTGGTTAGTGCTGCTGCTTCATGCTCCTGTTTTCTGCTGGAATTGACCACGCTAACAGCTTTTTCTAGACGGGAGAGATCAACTGTAATGGGAGCAGGGTGGGTTAAATTAATTTGCAGAGGCCAATTTATCATTTGCTCAGTACTTCAGGCAGTGGCACTGGCACAGCCTGGGAATGCATTGCTGTCACTGCCTAGGTCATAAGGCAGCGCTGTGAGCTCATCCTGCCCAGGTGCATAACTGGGAGCGTCGCTGGGAAGTGCCGGCCTGATACGCTCGAGTTGTGCCTCTGCTTTTCCTTGGGCAGTTGTGAATAGGTGCGCTGAAGCCAATAGGAGCAGTCCTTGTGGAGAGCGCTCTTGGCCTTGGAACATACGTTTTCTGTTTCGGGAGACTCTGAGGGCTTTTCCCTCTGCTTTTAAGGTCTGTGGCTTTTTTATGCTGTGGCCGGTCCCACAGAACAGTATTTCATTTAAGATTAAAATACGAACTCTTTTTTACTTCGGTGACTAAAAATGCGGCAATCAAAAGTGTAATAGGTGATAAAGAGGAAAGCAGAAGCTTCTTGGTGGGTTTTAACAGCATAACTTATTTTTTTGAGGTAATTTCTGTTTTTTCCTCTGGGCATAGAAGAAAAAAGTTGCAATTTTTTTTTTGCCACCTCAGGTGTCAACTGGTGAACAGTGAAGTGGTGTCGTAAACAAGCTCCTTAAAGGAGCGCGGTAGTAGAAGCCAAACGTCTTCATCTACTATCCAGTTGATTAAGGTTATGTTCTACTTTACTTCTATTTGTGCAGAAAGTGTTTTGAAGTGATCTCTTGTGCACTGGAGATAATTAGGTCTCAGTTTCATTGCAGTTAGGGGGTTACTTTCAGGAAAAGCCAGTTTTTCAGCTTGTCTTCAGGGTGTACAACTGTCATAATTCTGCTTTCTTCTCGTTCTATCTCTGCGGCTGTTCAGTGCAGTTTATTATAGTGACACCTATTAACACTGTTACAGTTAATTGTCTGTCAGAGTTTGAATTATGAACCCTTTTCACCCAGAGGTTTATACTGTCCTTAAAAATCCTCTAGTAAGGATTGTGCTATATGAAATCTTTGACCTGAGGATGTACATTTTTCTAACACAATTATTAAAAAAAACCTGGTTCTGTTCAGCTATTACCAAAACAAAGAGTTTGACACTCTTTGTATCTTCCTCTTTGACCATCTAGCTACTTGAGATTGAATTCAAGGAAGAAAGTGTACCATGCTCTTTACTATGTAGTGGTAGCATGCTTTATAATGTGCTTTATATTGCACATGAGTATATGTGTGTGTACAGGCCCATGCCATTTTTTATGGGATAACGTCTGGGATAGCACTGAGGAAGCTAGGAAAAAGGGTTCAGATTTTTTTTCGTTCGTATCTGTGCAACTCCTAGGACTTCAATGCAGGAGGAAAAAAAAATAAAAGGAAAGATTTTGGTATTGATGTCCAATGTAATTTTTGTTCCTTGTTGGTTCTTTTAATCTCTTGCAGAGCTTGAAAATGAGAAGCATGAGAATACGTACTGGTAAGAATAGTGGATTTGCTGTACTCTGTCACATTGCTGATTCTAACCCTTTGCATTGCATCTACCAGCAGTACTGGAAAGTAGGCAGAAGCAACCATGTTCCCAAGTATGTCTGTTTATTTGTGTAGAATAAGATATTCGTTGCCTACTTCTGCAAGGATATGATATGCAAATCCAAACATTATTTTGGAGTCTGGCATTGATTCTGGATTATCATCTACTAATTTTATTTGCACAGCATTTTACAAGTCTATCTTAAAAGGGGCTTATTGCTCTCTCCAAAACCCAGTAGCCAGAAGAAACATTTTAGGCATTGTAATTTTGTTCTTAAAAATGGTTCGAATAATACTTCATAGTTACGTTGGTATGTTCAAAGTGTGTACTTAACTGGTGAATAAAGACGAGAGCTTAACTTTTGGAGCTAGCGTGATGAGAAAGGAAGACAGAAAAGCCACTGGTGACATGCTGTCTCTGTAAAGCATAATGCGTGCAGCCCCTGGGGCAGTGCGGCAGGGCAGCAGCACGTGGTATGCCCTTTGCAATCTTTGCCAGCCTTGCCAGTGCTGTCCTGGTGTAGCTAGCTAATTTGCTGTGCTTGATGGCTAAAAAGTCACGGTCTCTGTCCCATCTATTTGATTTATTGCTGTGGTGTGATTGTGTGGAGTACTCCTAGGTGCTTTGTCCACGCTTGGAAATGAGGTTATGCTGCCCGCAGAGTCATGGCTATTTCTATAAAGAATGTTTGATTAAAGACTGGCATTTGCCTGAGTCCGCTTCCTTTTTTCCAAATAAATATTGCAGTCCTCAGTAGAAGTAACTATCAGCATGCTGTGGGTTGGTTGGTCTGCCTGATTTCCTAATGGATGCTTTTAACATGAAGAAAAAATCATCTTTCAAGGAAACAGAGCTGAAACTTGGTACAAAAGTTAGGATGATTCTCATGGGATCAAAGCTGGGCTCTCATGCGGAGCAAAACTCTGCCCGGTGGCCCTGGGCACGTGCTCCTGATGCCAGAAGCGCTCCCTTGTTGTGTCACAGTTGGAGGCAAAGGTGGAGCGGGAGCGAAAATTCTCATCCAAGGGTTTACGGGCTTCTGTGTTACTTCGAACAGTAGCGAGTGTCTTTAAGTACTCTTTATATTAGGCAACTTTTGTGAGATACCGTGGTTTATACCACTAGAACTGCTGGGTTATTAGGAATGTATACGTGTAACTGAAACCTTGGGGAGCATTTGACGTGGCTGACCAGCAGTTTTTGTTAAGTTGGAGCCAGTGGACCTCGTAGCTTTGCAAGTGCTGGGCTTACTCTGGGGTTGAACAGTACATGAGCAAACGCCCATTTGGAGCTGGCGTAACAGTTTGGGGTAAAACAGCGATAGATGCTGTTTGTGATGGAAAATGGTCAAGGATGCTGGTTGGTTGGCTAGTTGCTTCAGAGCGGTTTCCATTTGGTGAAGGGGGGTGGGAAGTGTGGCACGTGTGGGTGCAGTGAATGTTTTGTGGACCCTTGTGGACTAAACAGCAGTTATGTGGTTGCATGGGATTGTGGGGAGTTGGTCTCAGTGACCTGGGTGGTCTTTTCCTGTCCTGTAAGTGTTGCAGGCTGAGTTGCAAAGCTCTTTCTCTTTCTTGGAATGAATCTTAAAAGTTAGCTTAAATATTTCACCCTTTTTATATGACTGCGCTTACATGTGAATTCTCTTTGCTTACATGCATAACGATCTTAGCCAGTTTGTACCATTACACTGATTGCCATATAGTCAGCCTCGATGATACTGCCTTTATTTCTGAGCTAGGAAAATTCAGAGACTTTGTTCTATTTCAGAATACATGTTATTGAGCTCAGAGGTGGATCAGATGTAGTGTATCAGCACCTGAGTGTATTAAGTGTATGTCAAAATAAAGTCAAGTGGAAAAATACCAAAATGTTTGCGAACGTTAAGACTGAGAATTTTAAAGAAATGAAATGTTGCAGGCACTTGAATCCCAGATTAGGAAAGAGGATAAGATAAGCAACTGTATTGAGGAGAAAAGTTTCATAGCTTTCTCATTCTGCCTTTTTTTCAAGGAATGAGTTACTGTAGTTTGTTCTCTTTTGAAGATGAAAAAGCTGCTTGAATTGACAAGCAGAATGCGTGTGTACATAGTTGAAAGGGAAAAAGTCGGCACCTTTAAGCCGCACCTCACCATCACTATCAGTACCTTACATTTATTTTTAATACAGTTTTTGTGTGACTTAAGGTAGTTAGTAGAAACTGATAGTCTTTGACAGCGTGCTGCAAAAATCAGAGGCGCTATTGCCCTTAAGAGCAGCAGTATTTCAATCACTGTGGTTGTAATTGTCACTAGCTATTCTGGTGTTACCTGTAAAATGTTTTAAACCGTTCTTTTAAACCATGGACATGAACATCTGGTGGGAACAGTTTAAAATCATTTTAGAAGTTGAAACATGCTGTTTTATCGCTTCTAATGATAAAACTGTTAGGTGGTTAATCTTCCAAGGTTTGGGGCTTGGTCCGAGCAGCCAAACGCTCCTTTTCCATTCTGTGGTTTAGCTCCCTGTGAGCTCACATTAGGTTCAAAGGTGGGAAAATGAGATCTCGGGACTTCAACTGTTCTTTCACATGCATCTGTAAAAGAATTTCACATAGGCTTCGTCAAATTGCGTATTTCTTTTAACTTGAGGGCACAGGCTTTTCAGTGTGGCCAACTTCGGAAATCTTAACTAGGGTGGAAAAGTAAATTAACTACCTTATTATTAACTACCTTATTTAATCTTCTGTACTCCAGGGAACAGGCTTCCGTTTTTGCTTCTCTCACTTCCTAAACTTTTGGTGGAGGCTCACTAACTAAACTTGAGTGCTTGAGTTGGGAGGTGTGAATACCATCCTCTCCTTTCAACAGCAACAAAGGAGTTTATTTTGTTTTTTTAAAGATGAGGTAGGAAAGAAGTCTCTGGACTTACCTTACTTCATGAATTTACGAAGGAAGTATGGCTAGGAGACGATGAATTGAAAATATACTCTTCCAAAAGATGTAGAGAGGCAGAATTTTGAATTAATTTCCTTGTTCATCTCCAGCTCACGGAGATTAGTGGATCGCAGTGTGCATATGTTGTCTGTCTTTGTTTCTGGGTGCATAATGCTTTTCAGACCCTGTGGGAATGAGCAGGAAGTGAGGAGTATGGCCAGGGGTGTACAAGTTATATTTCTGAGATAACTTTTTCTTTATTTTCCTGCATATCCCCTGTACTTTGTTTATGGGAGGTATTTCCAGTTAAGTGAGTATGCTCTTTTATGTTTATATTCTTAATACTTCCTTCAGTTACGGGAAAATTTTGTGAACGACTAGAAAAAGTACCCTCAGGAACAGGTGTTTGTCCTCCTGGTTTAGGCCTTGTAGCAACTGCTGTGTTTTTCAGTTCCTGCCATAACCCTGTTTTGGATCTGAGTGGTGCTTTTCTGTCTTTATAAGTGACTGTATCAAAACTTGGCTCTGAAACAGCTACGTTTATACCAAATCTGAATTCAGATTTTGGGGGTTGAGCTTGGTGTATATGGTTATTTATTGGCGGCAGTTCTGTTTGTCATACCCACAAACTTCGGGTTTACCTCAAAGCTGTTCTTTTGGAAACAATTTTTTTTAGCTCTATAAGGAGGTTGTCATTGATGATTCTTTATTCTGTGGCATCAGAAATTGTATTTGAGCTTTTACTCTATGAAATGGGGACAAAAGGTCATGGTGAAGTGAACCATTCAGTTTCATTTTACCTTTAGTGAGCAAACATCTGTGACTCAGAACTCCTAGGTGTTTCAAAAACAGCCATATTCAATCCTGCTCTGGAAAATAAGTCTCTGAGGGAGAGCCCCTCTCCCCCCATTTATATGTATAGGATTAAAAAGGAGGAAATCTTCCAGTGCACGGGTTCTTACGACTGTGTGGAGTTCACTGGAAGCGTAAAATAAGAGTCTTAGTTTCTGTGGCTTGTAATCTGCTGGTGATGATAAAATGAAATCCTTCAAATAAAAACATGCTTATTTCTTCTTCTAGGAATCATTTTTTTAAGAGCAGGTATTTTCTTGCTTTTCTAGGGAATAGTGGCAGTCTTTGGTTGGGCTTTTCTTCTCCTTGCCTTGGAAATTAGTCTTCTAAAAGTTGAAAGCACCAGCATCAGGTTTACTGCAGTTGAGTCATGTTCTCACTGAACAAAGTTGAAGTGTTTAACTGTGAACTGAAGGGGTCAATGAAAAGAGTTTTGCTGAAAGGTTTCTAGGAAATCCCAATTCACATGAAAATGAGGAGGTCAGATTTTATGCCCCAACCTAGAAGCAAAAGTAGTTTGGCATCTGATTTCCAAATCTGCACCCGGCAGGCATGTAAGAGGGTTTTGCTGCTAACAGAACACCCAGCCCACGTTGTCATCACAGTTGATAACATGGCAAGCAAAAACTCAGGGGATTTGCTGTGCGATCTGGAGTCCTTGTCAGTTTAACTTAGGGTGGACATGCCTTTCTGCGCTTGTCTTGTCGTGTTGTTTCTGCTCTTTAACTTCTGCTTTTTAATGGCTTTTTACATGTAGATGCACACTAGCTATTTACAACTTCCTTAAACTTTCTGAATTTAGTTTCATTCCACAGAGAATACGTGTGAATATACCAATGCTCTGGGAATAGCTGATAAAAAGATACGGAACTTTTCACCTTTACATCACTGGTTCTTATGCGATTGAATTCGGTATTGTTAGAAGTAATCAACTTTGGCAGCTTCTGTGTAGTCAGTTGTTGGTCTGATTCCTTAAGAACAGTTTGTTTTAGGCAGGGCAGTAGAAATGTGCCTGTGGGAAGAAATGACCCTCTTGCTTTAGAGGTGGTGCCATCCAGAGCATAGATGCTGCATGTTTAGTTAATTTGGGAAAGCTTGCCTGACTACTGCGGTTCCCCCCCCTCCCTTTTTTTTTTTTTTTTTAAATAACTGGAAGACTTTTATCTTTGATTTCATAATCTGGCACTTTGCACAGGAATAAAATTGTTCCAAGAACATATTAGCCAAAGTAAATATTTACAGAGGCACTAAAAATGTTACTGTATTGCAAATCTAGTGTCAGAGTGGGCAGGGGAAGTTAAGCACATGTGCTGCAGAAATGTAGTAATTTTTTTAAGACCTCGGAGTGCAAAATATGCCTTTGTTCTGGGGTGAAAGTGGTGGTAGGATTGTCATGATACCCTCCGATATTGTTTACACCTGCTCATATGATGACTGCCTAATTAAGCATCTTTGAGATATTTACTGTTCATATTTCACATGCTATTTAAAGTTGTTTGTTTTCCTTTGTGTGCTGTAAATCCTCGAATGCCATCAGAAGCACAACTTGATGACTGTGTATTACTGTCTTGGGTTAAGTGCTGTCTCATTGCTTTGCAGGCCGCCTGCTGTTTCCCGTGGAGATCATGAAACGACATCGGCTTCCTAGCAGCAGTGAGGATTCTGAGGACAATGGCAGTAAGTGCTCCTTTGTTACAGAGTGCACTAGGTTATGAGTTTGAAACATGTTTTAATGCAGTGTTTTACCTGACAGGCGTTTTGCATGTCGGTTGGACTGGTGGAAATACGTGTTGTAAAGGAACTGGTTTTGAACTCGCTTGTTCTGAGTGCAGGAGGATGGTAGATTCAGGATCCCTCAAGGTTTACTATTGACTGAGCAGTGTTAGTTAATATGGTAAAACAAGGAAAAAGTCTCTTTTTCCTTTTTTAGATCTGTATTTGTAAGCAGTATGATTTATTGTTACAGGGACAGAACCAGTGTGGAGACATCTGCTAAATTTGTCCACAGCTCAATATTGAATAGCAGTTTGCATTAGGATTTTAAATTTACTTCAGTGTTCTCATGCTCTCTCGTGCAATGGAAGGGTGTATTGTTTTGAACGTCATAAGAAAAGGTGGGCAGTGCTTAAAAGTTGTTCTTTACTCTTGTTGGACGATTATCTTAGTTAAGGACTAACATTCAACAATTTGCAGTGATTGAGGAATTTGAATACAAATTTATTTCTCTTTTTGAACTGTCTTGTTCTGTTCTGATGTAACTAACACTGAGCTATATGAAATGTATCTGTTGTGTTTTGTGGTACTTCAGTCTGGAACGTAGTAGAAAATGATTGGGGAGATTTTCCAGGTGCTTTTGAAGGCTTTACTCGGAGTATGTAGCTCCTGTGCTGTGTTGTGGCCCTGTGAAGGGCTTTGCCTGTGAACTGTTTCACCTGTGACTCAGAAGTGCGTCTGTGTTATACGGGAGTCTGCTCAAGTAGCTCGTATGGCTGAATCTGCACCTTAAACCTTCCTTAGGCAACCTGTTGCTGAAATGCAGGTGTGGTGAAAGGGCTGGAGGAAACGAGAACTAGCAAGTTCATTAGGAGCTTGTCCAAGTAAGGGCTGAAAAAAAGCTATTAAAGATATGTGGGATTTGGCTTGTTGTTGGAGAAATACCTGCAGTTGGGTGGGGAAAAAAACCCAAACGTAACGTATTTTTTCTGGGTTAGACTACTTATTTGGGGTTGCAAAAATTGAAATCAGTGTGTTTCCCCAAAGGTGAAGTATAGTTCCCCAGAAGCAATAAAGATGTCTTTCTACTTGTAAAATATGCAAGTAGCAGGAAATGTAATGTCTTTCATTTGAATTTCACTTTACCGTTTTCTCACTCCCTCTTTCATGGTTTTATATGATAGCGTTTCATTTTGGTAATGATCTTTCATGTCTGTTTTTTGGCCTTTGATGTACCTTCATGTACCTTATGTTAGAGACTTTACCAAATAAAATATGAAGCAGATAATTTTGGAATTGAACTTCCAAAATATATGCAGTTGACTGATCTGTTGTTGTTTATAGTATTTGTACTGTAATTTGATATATAAATGTCTGGAGAAGAGCTGTTGATTTACTCAGCTGCTTCTTTCAGAAACTGGGTTTATCTGTTCCATAGATCAAGATCTAAGAAAATGAACTAGAAAAAAAAAGCTCTTTTCTTTAATGACTCTGTAATTTAAAGAAAGGAAATAATTGTATGCTTATTAATAACCATTAGGTTTATAACAAGTTGATTTAAAAAATCTAAATGACTATTTCTTGAATAAATTACATAGTAAAACTCAATGAAATTTTAAGAGCATTTTCAAGTATTATTTGAAATATACACTACTTCCCTTTCATTACACTTTTTTCCCCCTTAGCTTAATTCCTTTTTTCCCCTTTTATTACGAAATCACTGGGCAAACCCAGATACAGGTCCCTGCATATTCATTGTATTACTATACAAATGTTCAAAAAGACCAAGGTTAATAATCAGAAGCTGAGATAACATTTAGTGCAGAGTCAGCATCTCCAAGGCTTTTTGTCATTCACACTTCCGTGAGAAGAGTGTCTGACATTCAGACCCGTTCCCTCCGCTTCTCTGGCATTAGATATTTCCCCAGTACGCCAACAGTTCTGAATAACTATGTACTTCAGGGCTCTCCCCCTATAGGTTGCATCTTCATTTAATCTACTCTTGTCTTTGGTGAAATTACTGGTTACTCTCACTCTGTGAATTTCTGTGTAGAGATCCATAATTATTCTATCAATAGTGTCTCTGATTCATTGTACTGATACTAGCGTTACTGAGGGTAACCAAATTCTATTGCCTTAAAAAAAAAAAAAAGTAAAGAATTCTGTGAATTTCTGTCCTCCTTGTTGAAGCTTTTTCAGTTTTCCACTAGCTATTTTTCCCTCTCAGAGATTCCCAGAGGCAGAAGACAATTAAATAGGCTATTTTGAGCACTTCAAACAGCCTCCTTCTAATTGAAAAGTTGAAATTTTAATCAACACTTAGTTGGAATCCTCTTGCCAAACATCTGCTTCCCTTCAGTCAGTCCCACCTCCTGACCCTCCAGTGTGCTGCTCGCGTTCCCGTCACACTGAACTCTGTAGTCCTTCAGCTGAGAGCACGACGCTGCTCTCCCTCATCTCACAAGGTGAGGGTTGGGGCCTGCCGACTGCTGTGTTACTTCAGTTCTGAAGTTGAATTTTCATCCTGTGCCTTAATAGGACTGTGCGATTGGGCATCTTGGATTCATCTTGAGTGTCACTGGATGTCTTGTTGGAGTGTAACCTGAATGCTGATGGTTTTTTGGGGTGGACTCTACTGTGTGCAGTAATGCTGCCTGGAAAATATTTTGACATAAATAAGCTTTTTATTTTATTGAGCTTATAAACCCGAATATTTATAAGTTTATAATAATAATGCTACTTATATTGAAATTTATCTGCAAAAATAACTTGACACATGAAGATTGTTTTTCCTGAGATCACTTACTAAGTTAGTGTCCTTGGTGTTCGCAAGGTGTTCGCAAAGACAAACCCCAAACACTAAAACTGAAGACATCAGCTTATCTGTAGGTTTTAAGAGGAAGAAAAAGGTGCTTTCCTTTTGTGAGATAAAAGCAAGAAGAATCGTTTTCATTTAGGGGTGAAATAAATCAAATAGAAGAAGACTTAGCAACATGCCTGCAGCCCTACAGTGCATAAACGTGTTGACCTATGTAGGATATTTTATTGAGGGTGAGTATATATTATTTAAAGTATGTTAAAGCTTTGCAGCTTAAAGAGAGAACCGTCACTTTTCTGATCCCTCAGAGGACAAAGTCCTCTGGCTGGGGTTATTTCCAAAAGCTAATTGCAAGCTTCTTCCCCCTCCCCCTAAATGTTGTCTTCTCTCCTGCAACCTAACTACTGCAAATTGTTCAGCTCTGTGTCTGTCAGACTTCTAAATCTAAGCCAGATTTCTAAGTCATCGGCCATGATAGCAAAATAGCTTCTTTGAAGCAGTGAGCAAGAGGTACCAGTGACAGTTGCGTACAGCAGTACTGCAGTCAGTCTCTAGATGCCTGAGTGTGTTCTTGGAGATTTCAGTTTCTGAAATTATAGGTCACTTTTGAACATTTTATCCAGGAATTGAGTAAAAGATGGCCACAGGCATAGCTCTGGGTTTTGAACTTTTATCTAAATACAGAGAGATGGTATTAATAGGAAGAGGCTTGGGGCAGAGAGTAACGTTATTGGCGCCTCAAAGTAATGCTTTTTTTGTCACCTGGCAGCTTGTTACTTTCTGTCCCTCTCCAGATAATGTATTACAGCAACTATAATAGACATTAATTTTAGCCAGGCCCTTTATAAAAAGCCTTATGAGGTACATGGCATCTTTTCCAAAACCTGTGTTAAGTTAAATTAGTAATGTTTTCAAACTCAGACTCGGTTATGTCCTTGGTACCTGCATGGCTGGCCAGGGCTTTGATATTTTTGGAGCCATTTTTGTTACATTGTATTTCAGCTTACCTGTCCATTGCAAAACTCCTCCTCTTTGTGGTTCCAGGTCTTATTCTAATGAAGTGTTAGATCTGAAGCCTTTTTATCTTTTCTGTTCAGTGTTTCACCTGACTTTTTAGCTTCATTGGTCTGCAAATCTGCAAAGGTACTTTGTGCAGAATATACCTTGTGCTCTGTTTCCTGGTCAGATAAAGTTGTGTAATAGTTTCCGTTTAAAGCTTCAGTGTGTCCCTTTTTGCACAGAATTGCTTGAACACTTGGACAGATGGCACTTGAGACAAGGCCTGCACCTCAGACAGCTGTATTGTGGGGAGCTTGGGTGAAATCCCCCTTGATGTCAGTGAGAGTTTGAGCCCTGCTCTCAATGAGCAAGGGCTTCAGAGCATGACTCTTTCACACACTTGCTACTAGAATGCCTCTTCGTTTGTACTTGGAGGGTTTGTCAGTTCATCATATTCCTCCATGCAGAGGGAGAGAAGAAAAGCTTTCGGATTAAAAATACGCTAGGCTTTGCAAGGTTTCCCATCGTGTGGGAGAAATGAAAGCTTTAATACCTGCGGATTACAGAGTATAGTTCTGTAATTTAGGTGGACTCTTACTCTACTGTTGCTAAACAAATGTTATTTTGAAGGTAAACTTCTTTTGCCAATATCCGTTCCTTTGACTGAATGACATAGGTCTCTAAGTTTATAAAGTGCTTTTCATCCCAGTGGATTCCCAGTGTTTGAGATGCTTTAACAAAGGTTGCTGAGTACATGAACCTAGATATGTATGTTATTTACCATGGACTTGCAGCCACTGCTGGCCTGAAATGTGGCAATTACTTAGCAGTACATGTAACCCTGTGTAGGCTTTTATGAAAAGGAAATGAATAACGTTCCTTTTTTTTGGTTTTTTTTTTCCTGTTGAAGTGACTGGGAGGTGAGAGAAGGCTTTTATACAGCAGAATGTCATGTAATTATAGTGCTAGAGTTTAGACAGAGCGGCAAGTTTAGCAGTCACAACCACACTTCTGAAAGAGGGTTGTGGGATTTGAAACGTTGACAAATGGCCAGAACTTGGACCTTACCTGAAGTTTAGGTTCACTGGGGCAGGGAATGAGCTTTCGATGAAGCAACTGTTACGCTTTTGAGCACTCTGAAAGAGTA